AAAAAAAAAAAAAAAAAAAAAACACACACATCTTAGTAAAACCAATACCTTCTCAGCTTCGCATCGAAGCTAAAATTAGTGAACATAGTATATGATATAACTACAAAATTCATAATGTTATGGTTTTGTATTATGATAACTATATCATATGTATATTAGTGTGATTTTTTATTATTATTAAATTATATTATATTATATTGTATATTTACTAATATTACTTACTGAAAATTTTTTTAAATATTTAATATTTTTGTTTAAAATGTACAGTAATATACCTAGAAATTTTTAATGGAGAGATGGACTAATACCAAAAAGTTTTTAAGGCTAAAATGTATGTTTTATTTATATGCTTATGTATTATTAATGTTTTTAGGTAATGGAAAACCACCAGAAATTTTAAGCCAAATGATTGCTGAAGCTAGAGAAATAAGAGAAAATCAAAATTTCCGATCTAATACATTATCTTGTGTAATTACTTCTGCTGAACCTAAAGATCAAATGAATAAAGTAACTACATTAATTATTCATAAAATATTAAGTTTAAATTATGTTAATTTTATTTCATACCTAACCAAGCTGTATAAAATTCACTCATTAATTGTAATCTTAAAAAAAGGAAAAAATATTATCTATTAAAAATTATTAAAAATAATTTCAGGATGATGATATTGATAGCCGCACAATGATTGTAGATGAAGGCACTCTTATACCTGATAAATTAAAGGGAACAAGTTTGAAAAGTAATTCATTAGTTGAAGAATTGCGTACTATGGTGATAAACAGTGATGGAGAAGATGACTCAACTATGAAAAGTAAAAATTTGATTTATCTATGAACCTATTTAATGTTATATTATTTTATTTTCATTATAGGACATGATACTGGACCAGAAGAATCAGGGAAAAAATATAGACCTTTATTTTTGGATCACTTTGATAAAAAAATTGCGGAAAAATCTAAAGTATATAATCTAATTATAACTTATACAGTTTTAGTTTTTTAATACTTAAAATTAATTATTAACAATTAAACTATTTAATAATTAAATTTATTAAAATTATTTTAACATTGCGATTAAAAAATGTAGGTGTTACATATATAAACCAACAAAAAAATGTTTTTCAAAAAGTTCTAGATAATTGTTAGCTATGAAATGACATATTTTATACTAGAATGAAGTTGAATTTTTAATATAACTTTATTTGTTTATTAGATATAAACATTTAAAGTTTCAAATTTTTGAGTTAATATACATGTATAATAGACAAGGGATTACAAAAGCAGATAGCTAATTGATTTTTTATGACATTGCTGTAACAGTCACGGATTATCAATTATGACTATCAATAGATATATTTTTTGTATTGTCAGAGAGTGTATTTATAAACTCACAATAATGTGCCTTACTACTATTGATAATAACAATGCTGTGTACTTGCTAATATTGATGTCATAAAAAACCAATTAGCTATCTGCTTTTGTAATCCCTTGTCTATTATACATGTATATTAACTCAAAAATTTGAAACTTTAAATGTTTATATTTAATAAACAAGTTTTATTAAAAACTCAAATGCCATTTACTATTAAATTAAAAACTCAAACATTTTATTAAATTCAAAATATGTGTTCCCATTTAAAAAAATGGTGTTAACACCCTTACCAGGCATAAGGGATGAACTTAAAAAGTATTACATAGTTAATAATTTAAGAACAATGTATAACTAAAGATAATAAAAAAAAAAATGTTTAAGTTATGATTATTCTGTAAGTAATTGAGTAAGTTATGATAAAACAATCACCTGTATAATCTTAAGAGAAGCAGTAAAGTATTTTTATTTATTATATACATTTTTGTGTAAAAAATTAATTATAATTGTAAAAACAATTTTTCAGTAATTTTTAGTATAATTTACAGATAATATGCATTTCATAGTACTAGATTTTAAATTAATCATATTATAATATGGATAAAGGAAACTTTTTTTTTTTAATCTTTTATAAAAAATAATTTGGAAAATATTAATCAAGTAGGTTAACTGCTGACTTAAAATTTAAATTGTTCAGGTAAAATGTGATTGTGCTATATATTTTATAGTAATCTATAAAATATTTAATTTTTATATGCAATAATAGGAAGTTTTTACATAATTAGAGTAGGATAAACCATTTATGATGAAATTGAGTGTATGATCTTAAACTACTTTCTTTAAATGCTTTTTCCAATAAAACGTTCTTTCTTAAAATATTTCTGTAATATTCTAATGTAAAAATGTGAAAATCTTCAGACAATAAAGAGATAATTGTTCATGACTAATAATGTTTGTTTGGTTTTTAATTTAGCTTGAAAATTTTGTAGAAAATAAATTATTTAGTGAAATACCAGGTGCTACTCAAGATTTTACACATGTAAATTAAAAAGAATTAAAAGGTTTATAATCATTTATTAAAAAATAGTTTTATATTTTATGATTTAGGTTGATGACCCTGACAAAACTATAACTTCAAATCAGTTTCCTATACCATCAAATAATTGTAGACCTGATGGAAATGTACCAGCTGCACCTCATAATAACCGTTATTATTCACCTATAATAGAAGGGGATTTTGAATTTGTGAGTTATATTGATAAGATAATAGTGATCTCAAATTGCATTTCTATAAACTAAAAATATTTTTAGTTAAAATTTTTAAGTTTTGATGATTTACAACAACGAATGTCTAATTTGGACTCAGAAATGGAACATGAAATAGATGAACTTAGACGAAGATACCAAACAAAACGTCAGCCAATATTAGATGCTATGGATCAAAAACGTAAACGACAACAAAATTTTTGATGTTTTATTATTTACTCAACATTATGAATCATTTCAAAAATTACTTTAAAAATTTGGTGAAATATAAGACTACACATGAGTAAGGTGCTATTATATATCTTTGCTTTTTTTTAGCTCAGATAATTATTGTAGTATCAACATATCTCACAATACTTCACGTAGCTTTGAAGTATTTTGTGAAATTTTTATTGTTTTAATAGCTTTAACAAAAATCTAAGTCATTTTTACTATCATTAGTATTATCATTATTGACAATAATATATTGAGTTATTAACATTTTTTAATTTCAAAATGATTCTATGTACATTATGTAAGTAAAAAATGTTTAATATTTTATTGAAATATTAATCAAAATCAGAATTGAATGAACTTTATTATTATTATTTTAAAAAAAATAATGATAATAATTCATAATATTTAACTAAAATAAAACCATTATATTTTTAAAATTATTTATATTTAAAAATATAATTCACTTATTATTATAAATTGCTTTGAAAAAAAAAAGTTTTCCTATATTTTAATCTATTTAAAAATGTTGTTTTTAATAACAAATCAATTTATTAAATATATAAATTGATTTATTAATAAAAAAAAAAAAATTGCAATTTTTCAATTTAATTAACTAAATTATGTAAGTTCTGTTTTTTCAGTATGTAATATTTCATTTAAATAATTAAAATTATTTAAATGGAAATATTTGAGCTATTGAATTTGTTTTAATAAGTTCAATATTTTTTTTATATTTTCATTGACTGGTGTAAAATTTAATAAGTAATAATCAAAATATTATTAATTCAATAAGTAAATTAATCAAGATAAATTAAAAGCCTTTCAAAATAACTCAGAAATAACTTAGAATTTAATTATTCAGTTAATTCATATCTTTGACATTTTTATATTTATAAAAATTAACTTATGATCAAAGAACTCTGAGGAGTGACTAATATTGTATTTTTTGTTATATTTCTAGTGTCTAATAAGCAATAACTATGATTTTCTGAATTTAAGATAAAACTATAAAACTTATATTTGAAAAAAGTATGTACATTTTTTCATAGCATATCTTTATTTTTATTTTTTCTGGACAATAAACAGGGTAGTAAATGCTTAATATCTGTATGATTATGTTATGGAAAGACTGTTTGCTAGTTATTGCTTGTAAGATAATTTTTAATATTTTACATTTCTTCTTAAACTTTATTATTTTAATAAATTAGATATTTTCTATAAATATTCTATTAAAAATTGTATTAAGAGACTGATCATTGTTTGTGAAGTATTTTGTAAGTGTTATTATCTATGATTTTATTAAATATTTATTATAGAATGAAATCATAGATTATTTAGAACTAATCAATTAACTTGTATAACTACGATTGTTAATACATTTATTTACATTTTATTATGTAATCTATAAGTGAATATGTAATTGAAATTATTAAATAAAATAGGTGGGTTTATTCCAGAAGCAATGTAATTTATTTACTTTAAATCTATTAAATATATTGCAACACTTTTGTGTAAGAAGAACCTGAATGTCAAATTATAGATTGAATTTTTGAGAAATGCATTTAAATGTAAATTTATTTTGGTATTTCATGTGATTAATATTGATAATCTTGTACTGAAGAGGTATACCATCTTAAATATTAACCCTCTTAGTATTAACGTATCATTGTTCTTATGTTAGTAAAATTGCTGCTTTTATAGATTGGTGGAGAATTGCATGGTTTACAATTATTCTGTTATTAAAAATTTGTATTTACGTTACTATCGAAAATACAAAAAAAAAATAAATATTCATTCTAAGAACTGAATAGATTAACAGTATTGTTTTAATAATGGGAAGTTCCTTAAAAAAAAAATATTTTTTTATATATTAAGGCAAAATTATTCGATTGAAGCTAAGATTCAAAATATGTAGTTTTTTTCTTAACCCAATGAAATACTTTCAGAGCCTGTAAATTTTGTGCTGACGACCAAAAAATAGGTCAAGCTTCTAATCATTTATTATGATTGAAAACGCTATTAATAATTTTTAAACTCATCTTGCATATTTAATACCTAGAAAATAAAACAATATGTTATATGTAAATAATATTATGTTTTATAATTATAACAAAAGTTTATTATTAACACTTATGTGCTATACATAAACGCAAAAAAAAATTTTTTTCCGTTAAAACGCCTAAATAATAAAAAAAAATACTATAGGATTAAAAAATAATATAATTTGTGTTTATATTAATCAAATTACTTAAGATACTATATATATATATATATATATATATATCAAGAGTAGCAAAAAAATATTTTTGAGCTGTAGAACTTCAGCATTAATAAATCAGAAATATCATTGGCACTATGATATTTTCTATGGATATGTTTTTTAATAAATTATATAAAAAGAAATCTTATTTTACATATTTTAGCTTTGATGCATAACTGACAAGACATTCGTTTTATTTTGCCACGTTTTTTTTTATATCACTACATATTTTTATCATACGTGATTACTTAGGTCATACTGAACTGATTTTACTCGATGATATGTAAAAAAATCACAAAATATATCAAGTTGAAGCTACCACTGCCATAATTTTGAAAAAAATTCCTCTCAATTGCCACAATATAGGAAAATGTTCAAAAAATTACAACTTTTATTAAACAATTAATGTTGTTTTTTTTTAGTTATCATTTTATATTAAAATAACTAGTAGAAAACTGGATAAATTTTTGCAATTTTTTTATTGATTATACTTTAAACATTTTCCATCAAGTTAACATAATTTTTTTGAAAATCCAATCGTTAATTAAGATGCTATGAGTCTGTGACGTCTACAAAAATGACGACCTGGGATAGCTACCTCAAAGTGACGCTTTTGTAATGGTATCATATTTACTGATGATAAATTCAAAACATACTTTACCAGATTTTAAATAAAATCGGGTAAATATATTTAAAATGTTATTTATTATTTAAAATAAAAAATCACTGATATAACATATCTGTTGGCTTATAAAATATATATGACGACTATTTTTGATAATTAAATTTAATACTTTTTTTTTAATTTCCAGGGGAGGTGCTTTCCAAGCTACATCATACGGTAATCGCGATTGGTAAACCAAATTTACACTTCCCCGGGGTGATGAATTGATTTGTCTCAAAACTGTGAAAGCTTTAAATCGTATCGACATTTTTTTGTCTTCAATGATTATAATATTCCAAAAAACTTGCCTTCTTTACACCTAATTAAATAAAAGCTTTTACCATGTACTTTAAGCTGAGAAAAGAAAATTTATCCGTGAACTTAATACCTAGCTAATTATTCTAAAATTCGTACAATAAGCTAAGAAATTATATTTCTATAATAATTTTGGAACATTTTTCTTAACCGTTTAGATTTGGATCGATAATTTTACTGTTATTTAAAGAAATTATGAATTGCAGTTACTTTCGTTTAAACTGAGACAATTTATTAACTTATAACTAAAAATTTTTCAATTTTTTCCTATTTTTCTGAAAAAAGTTTTTATTATTTTTTTTTTTTAATATCATTAATTCTGGAATTTTTAAATCTATTTAAAACTAGACAGATTTAAGATTTTTTGTGTACTAAATGATTAAAAAAGAAAGACTTTCCAATGACTTGTCCTCTATTAGTAATCGGCCATGTAGTTAATGATGTAATTTTTGGTTAATATATTAGACTTTTTTTAAATTGCTTTAACATAATAAATTATAATAATTATTAATTATTATAGTTTAATTTATTAAACATTTTCATGAAATCTGAATTTGAATGTTCTGGTGCAAAAAGGAAGTAGCTCCACTTTGCGCAATTTGAAGTCAAACGTCTTTTAATGTAAAAAAAAATAATTCTTTAATTTAATATCAGAAAATCTCATCTGTAGGAATTTTATGTTAAGTAATAAAATAAATACATAAACACCATTAAATTAAATAGAAATATAAAACTTGTAAACGATTGACATAAAATTAGAAAATATGAAGCTATTTTTTTGCAGCACTTCTATTTTCCTATGTAACATTGTATTACTCATAGAAATAATATAGCGCTATTTCTATAATATTTTTTTATGTGGCCACACTGAGAGAACCCGTCGTAGAGTTAGACTTATCTCTAAAGTCGTGTAAAAGAATATTGAATATTATCCACTTTTTCGTCGATCTGTGGGTGTTTTTTTCTTTTCGGCCGTAATTTTTTTTATAATTATTCGAAGATACACAGTAATTTTAAAACTATGAATCTGACAGTTTTTTAGAAATAGTCAACAATTAAATTTTCAAGTGTCTCACACTAGCTTATTTCATCGTCATTGAAGTTGAGTTATTGGTTTAAAAACTGTAATCAACATTCAAAATGGTAAATACATTTACTTAATTTAATTTCCTTTGAAACTGATCGTATACGATTAAGGGTTTTGACAGTTTCATTACAGTACAAGTAATGGAATGTAAAGTGAAGATAATTATAAATTTTATGTATAATATTTTAGTAATAATAATTACCTAATATTATTACAGACGTTTTTTGGACTTGGTCAAACAGCTGAAGTAGAAATAATTTTAGATCGTCCAGATGGTAAAAAAAAACTAGATGAAAATAGTAAAAAGGATCAAAGTTTAATATATTTTGATGGCGAAACAGTTTCTGGAAAAGTACTTAAAAAAGATTTTTAATGAAGTTTCTTCTCTTTTTTTATTCATTAATATTTTGAAATAAAAATTTAAAATTGTGGTGTATTAGGTAAATGTAGTTTTAAAGAAGTCAAGTAGTCGTTTGGAGCATCAGGGTATAAAAGTAGAATTTATTGGTCAAATAGAAATGTATTATGATCGAGGTAATCATCATGAGTTTACATCCCTAGTAAAAGAATTAGCTAGGCCAGGAGAAATGTTACAAAATACTTCATACAATTTTGAGTTTTTAAATGTAGAAAAACCATACGAAACTTATACTGGTTCTAATGTTAGACTAAGGTACAATAGTTTATTTTTTATTGATACAACATTTTACTATTCGATATCATTAATGGTTATTTTGAATTGTATAGATACTTTTTACGAGTTACCATTATTCGAAGAATTTATGACATAGTGAAGGAAATGGATATTGTTGTTCATACATTATCGTCATACCCTGATATGAACAATAGTATAAAAATGGAGGTTGGAATAGAAGATTGCTTACATATTGAATTTGAATATAACAAGTGCAAGTAAGTATTTGTTCATTGAGGCAGCCTGTCCTAGCTTAGATGATAATGTATATCTCATTATGCAGGTACTAGAATACCTGCATAGATTTCATTGTGCTGATCTATGTAGGTTTTCCTATCCTTTCTGACACAAATTTAAATTAAAAAAATTAAAGTATATTATTAATTTTTTTTTTTTTGAAAATTTGTAGATATCATTTAAAAGATGTTATAGTTGGAAAAATTTATTTTCTGTTGGTAAGAATAAAGATTAAACACATGGAAATTGCAATTATTAAACGTGAAACTACTGGTTCAGGTAATATAAAATTTATTAAAAATTATAGTTTAGAATGTCTTTGAAAAATTAATATTTAAAAGATATTTTAAGTATTAATGATACTAAATTTTTTTTGTAGATACTTTTAATTAATATAAAATAATATGTTATTATAGCTTCCAAGATACTTTTAATAAAATTATTAACTAACTGTTTGAGTATAAACTTATTTTTTGTAGGTCCTAATACTTTTAATGAAAATGAAACAATTGCTAAGTATGAAATAATGGATGGGGCACCAGTACGAGGAGAGAGTATTCCTATTAGAGTATTTCTAGCAGGATATGATTTAACCCCAACAATGAGAGATGTCAACAAGAGATTTTCAGTGAGATATTTCTTAAACTTAGTTTTAATGGATGAAGAAGATAGACGCTATTTTAAACAACAAGTAAGTTATTTAATCTTATATATATATATACTGTAATTCTTTATCATAATCCACTTAATTACTTAAAAATAATTAAAAAATGTGTAAAAAAATTTTTTTTCTTATTAAGCTATGAGTATTTTTCAATTATTAAGTACATTTTAGTATCCCTTATTTTAATAGTTTAACAAAAAATTACCTAATTAAAAAAATTGTCATACTTATTGAGAAATGAACATATAAAATAAATTATTTTTTATGTTGAAACCTTAGATATTTTTTTTTCATTTTTTACCTCCCCATAGGAGTAGATTCTATAGCAACTTCTACACAAAAATTTAACTTTTTCAACTTAATTTTTGAATTATTTTCCTGAAATATTGACTTTTTTATTTAATTTTTAATTAAAGCTTATGTAATATACATTGCTGTGAAAAAAAAAATTTGAGATATAATGAAAATGGTTATCATATTCAAAAATATGCTATTTTTGTGTTAAAATTCTTGGTATTGTATTTTAATTTATTTTATTATACCTTATAAGGAGAGTACATTGATTTTCATGAGTATTACATAAATCTAATTGACATAGAATATAGAGTTAAACTTATTTCAATTTTTTTTCTTTTAAGTAAAAAAAAATAAAATTTTAATATTTGAATCAGCTAATTTTATTAAACATCATTGCTTGTGGCAATATAAATAATAAATATTATGTAATTTATAACAATAAGTAAATTTAGACATTAATGACATTAGTCAAAAATGATATCTGTTAACTTAGATTTTCTGGAAATTATATAACCAATTTTAAAAAATTTTAAATAGTAAATATTTTTATTAGTATGTGAAAAATAAAAAATAACTATATTAAATATCAATAAAGAAAGTATACTCATTTGATACAGTATTTGTATTCTTGCAAATAAAAAGTTTGTAGCAAATTTTGTATTTTCTAGATTGTCAGAAAATTGTTTTTATAAAAATATACTATTATCATGAATGATGAGTAAAATAATCAGTGAATACTTAAAATCTGTATTTACTCTTATTTGTAAGTTAAATTTACATGTATTTCATTTATTAATTTTTTTTTAATTAAATTTATAGGAAATAACTTTATGGCGAAAAGGAGAAAAAAATATTAAAGGAATACAAAGTCGTAATGAACCATCACATCTAGTATCTGGTAAAGATGGTCCCAAGGGTAGTGAAACTCCAAGAACTACTTCACAATCAATTCCGCCTTCTGGCTCATTTGACAACACAGATTCTGAAAATAGTCAAAATTATTCTTCTCCCACTATTGAAGGTGTTGAACACCAAAACCAATCTTCAGTTGAAGATAGTATAAGTGATTAAAAATATAAATGTTGTTATTTATTTAATGTTAAAAGGAATTGCCATTTATAGAGATTTCAATTTTCATTTAATAAATAATATAGTGTTCTTTCACTGACAAAACAATAGTAACACAAGAGATTTTTATCAATCCTATTATTTTGGAATTTATTCATTTATATATTATTTATGTTATCTGTTTATTTATAATTATTTGTTTTAAGTTAACTCTAATATTTATAAAACACTTAAGTAAATTATATGTGCAACCTTCTCTTGTTTATAATTTATGTTGATAAATAATCACAAAGTATTTACTTTGTTTGAACATGTGTAATTGCTGTAAAGGTCTAAAACTTAGAGAGATACATTTATATTGTATGTAATACATATTATGTATAAAATATATTTTTATATACAGTTTAGTCTGTTATTTTCATAGACTTTCTATAGGTATCTAATTGTTATTGTGATTTATTGTTTAAACTATTTTTAATAATTTTATTTATAGTATACATATTAACATAAATTAATGAAATAATACAAATTGTATTATTGTACTTTAAGTTGTAAATATATATATGAATAATACATTATAATGTATAAAAAAGGAATTTAGTTTTTATTTATTGGGTTTATTCATAATTTTATATAATTGTAAATTTATAGTCAACTTCAATAATGAAAATATTATAAAATTAATTATTTATAAAGCATAAACTTGTATTTTTTTAAACATAATTATTGTACTTTTAAATATTGAGCTTATATTATTTATATACAATTCATTAGGGTGTTCCTTATTTTCAGTCTTCATAATTTTTAAGGTTTCACTCTTTTATATATATATGTAAAATTTGAGGACGATCAGGCAAGTTTAACTTGTGATATAATTTTATTGTACAAATCAAGGTAAGAAACGTTATGTTAAGTTAATGTACACAAGGACATTATTTAGTTATAGTTAAAGGAATTTTTTGAAAAGAAATTCTTAGGACTCATCCTCTTAAGTTCTGTATATAGGTGTACAAAGAAATTATAATAAATTTCAGGTCAATTAAAGTTTTACCTGTGCTAACTTGAGATTAATAATTAGTAAAGGTAGTTTTTCGATTTTTTAATTAATTTGTAAACGAGTGTTCAATGAAAAAAATATATATAATACAAATTATTGATCTAGAAATTTTATACATAAGTAGTATTGATATTTTTTTTTCAGAAAAATGAAAAAATATCCAAATTTTTTTAATAGTCAAAATTACTTTATTTATAAATATTTTGTAATATCTGGCTAACTCTTAAAGATACTATTTAATGTTTTATATAAAAAACGTTAAAAAATAAATTTTCTGAAAAAATTCTTATGATTACAAATTTTATACAATTTAATTGAAAACATTTAAGTCACATGATTTTAATTTAAAAAAAGAAAAAACAATAGTAGCCATGAAGTCATATAACAAGATCGTGTGAACTAGTGAATTTCTTAGATTTTATTCGAATATATTAAATAGAATTATGAATCATTCTCGCTACTCGATCATTTAATGGATTTCATAGTAAGCAAGGTTGCCTGTTGGTTTTAACAAAAATCAATTAGCAACTAATTGAAAAAGTTATAACAATGAAATATTGAAGCTAAGTTATTTAAACCTGCGTGTAATAGATAAATATTTTAAGTTATTTTAATCTTAGCATATTTTTCCAAAATATTAATTATAGAAATAAATTCTTACATAAATGATAATTTTATAAATCCTGTAATTTCTTAAGTTATGTTTTGAAAATTGAAATTAGACTTTTTCTATTACTTCTAAGTTTTGAGGTTAATTAAACAAATTTTTGAATACGATAGCCATTTTCACCATGAAAATAGTTAATAGTTTGATATTTCTTTGTTCATAGTAAATTCAGTTAAATTTATTGTTATATAAATATAATTTTTTTGAAATAGAAAAATTTAAATTAGTCTACCCATAAAATTTGATCACTCAGTGGCGTATTTGGAAATTTATAATAGGGTGGACACGAAAAATGTTCATGAATAAGGTACTATATAAAAATTTTTTTTTTTGCTCATAACATTTGTTAACACATATTGTAGATTTTTTTGAAAAAATCTGTTATTTGTTTTGAATCTATTTTTTTTAGGAATGTATCTCTACGTAATAAACACTTCAAAAATAGGTGATAACATTAACGGGACAACTGTGCGGGCGTCAAAATTTGCTCCACAAGGCAACTATATCGATTAACATTTCATAAACCAAAATTATCGATAACCAAAAAATAACTTTTTCTAATGATATTGTACATTGCTTGATAAAATATTAACATAACTCATCCAGGAGGGACACGTGGCCCTGTGATTCCCTCTAAATACGCTACTGTGGCCACCTACGACTATGGTTGTGCCATATTAAATCACTCATATGTCTTTTCGTATCATTAAAGAAATGAAAGAAATATATGATAACGGCACCAGTCATTGATATGCGAACCAGTTTTTGGCAATCGAGTTATATAATAATAAAAATTGATCAAAGTTTTAAATGGCATTTTGATTTTTTTATCAAATATGGACTTAAAGAAACAAAATCCCACTTATCAGAAGTTTAAGAGTCCGTGCCTTTTTTAACACGCTTATATTAGTTTCACCTGTATGTATGTATGTATGCAATACTATTCCTGTATAAATTTATTTTTGATTATCGTACCCGTATACACGTGCGTATCATCAATATTATATATATATAAACAAATTTTTATTTTGACTGACCATTATCATCCGCGTGCATACGGCTTACGTATATATTCCTACCGCCGTTTATACCTCAGGTATAGCGTTCCCCCCGCCCACAAAACACGGCTATACCTAGTGCACGATACGTTTACGTACTTAAGTCGCTTTACTTGTATATATTTATATATTCTAATTACTATTAAAATTTATTTATTAACACGCTTTATTTTAATTAAGAGATATAAAGTATTCATTCCGATTACGAGGGATGATTTCCGTATCGTCATTTTTCGTCACTACCTCCACGTTCCGGGAGTGAGTAATTTACGCGCCTGCTGCTTTCCTTGGACGTGGGAGTCGTTTCTCAGACTCCCTCCCCGGAATCGAACCCTGATTTCCCGTTACCCGTAACAACCATGATATTGATAGTAACTACTATCATAACATGAAACTAAAAAGTAAAAAATAATTTTTAAAATAAGTTTAAAATAATTATGAATAAAAAATACTTGTATTATTGTGATAAAAGCGTGGGTGCTTTGCGTCATATTTTTCGTATATTGAGCGCCCGACGCTTTTATCACAATAATACTAGTAATTTTTGTTCATAATTATTTTAAAAATTATTTTTAACTTTTTAGTTCGATGTGCTTTAAAAGCGTGTTTTTTTAGTTTTTTAAACTATATTTATTTATATTATAGTAAACTAGTATTAATGGTGACCAGATTAAGGGACTAAATCTAAGGAATTTTAAACTGTTTCATAAACAAGCAGATAAACCAAGAACTAGCATTTTGGGTAATGATAAAGTTAAAGCCAGCTTGATACTTAATCTATCAAGTGCAGACTTGACTACTATTAGAGTAACACTAAGTGATGGTGAAAATATCATAGTAGCTTCAGGATACCTACCACATGAGGCCACAGACACAGGTAGGAACATAACTATGCTCTTTAATTATTGCAAAAATGAAAAATTAGAACTCATCCTAGGTATGGATTCTAATGCTCACCACACTATTTAGAGGAGCAGTAACATCAATCAAAGAGGAGAGGTAATAATGGATCTATTACTGACTACAGACCTCAATTTACTGAACAGAGGTAGCGAACTTAAGTTTGTAATCAGGAACAGGCAGAAAGTTATCGATCTGACAGTTTGTTTAAAAGGGTTACTTCAAAAGATAAAAGGGTGGAAAGTTTCCTCCGAACCTTTTCTTTCTGATCATAGGCACTTACGATTCACTTTGGAAATTAACAAAGTTGAGACGGAGTACTATAGGAACCCGAAAAGAACAAACTGGGGCAACTATAGGGCAGATCTTTCTCGTGACCTGAATAATCTACAGTTTACTGAGTTGACAGAGTACTGAAAAGGCTGTAAATATACTACAGGACTCCATTGTCTTAGCTTACAATAAAACTGTTCTTTAATAGTGTGGGTTATATCTTACAACACACAATTATTTAAATGGCGGTAGACTTTTATTAAACAAAATTATAACACGAAAATAGACGTATAAACACTAAAAGAAAATATATGTATATACAGTAAGGAAAAATAAAATAATCGAAGTAAACATAATACACGATGACAACAGCGGCGGGGTGTAGCGGTCGTGTAGCGTATCGCGGACTAGACAGTCTGAACTGAACTAACTGAACTGACTGATTCTTCCGATATATATATAGCTCCGATAAGACTCTCGCTAATTCTAGAATATTCTATACCCGCGTAGGTTATCTTATGGCGTTATCGAAGTTTCTCGAAGGTTTTTGATAACGAGAACATTCGAGAATATTCGTTGCGTATGTTTTGGTCGCTACAATAGAAAAGAAAGGTATAGCTTAGTGGAATGCTAACCTGTCTAAATTAAGAAAGAGTTCACGTAAGCTCTTAAATAAAGTAATGAAATTTATAAATATGTTACTTGAAAGAGACACAGATTTGATATAATTTATTAATATTAATAAAAAAAAATAAAATCAAGAATTTTTTTAAACAATTATTTTGTTATTTTTTGCCCATTTCTTTATCATTCGTATCATATTTTCAACTTGAGAATTAGCTGAATTTCGTAGAAGCTGAATTATATCTGCCACTTGTTCACTAAAAAAACACGTTATATTAGAGATATAATACAAATAAAGTCATTTTTGAAATTAATGTTTCAATTACAAAAAAAAAAATAATATTAACTTTGAGTGTTTTCCAAGAACAATTTGTTGAAAAGCTCCAGCGCAAGCTCCCCTTTTGCCTTCCCAATACTCAGGTAATAAATCTAATTTTTCCAACATATCGAAAGCTTTAGCCGAATGCCAAAATTGATTAGTCTTGTAGCAATCATTTGCTATTGACTGCAGTATAATGATTGAATCTTTAGAATTTTCCATTTTTAAATATAAATCCCACGCTAATTGAGGTTTTTTGTTCATTATAACTAAAATGAATAAACTAATTATAATTACGTTATAAATTTAACAATCGTAAATATAACATAAAGATTTTATAAATTGGTAGTATAATTAAGTTATTATTTTGCGCAATAATTATACTGATAAATTAAAACTGTATTTGTCCAGACATTAATTTTAGAGAGACTAAAGAAATTAAAAATATTTTTTTGTTTTAAATAATATTGGCTAAAATTTTTTGTCATTTATACAATTTACAATACGTTGTATTATTACATAGAAAATGTTCAAACTACGCCTATAACTATCAATAAGAAGACCATATATAAAAAAAAACCCCAGCACAGTGGGAATGTGGTATAGTTTAGTCCAGTATAGATTTATTCTAACAGTGATTAAATGACTAACATTAAAAACGCTTCGATGCAAATCTGTAGATAGTGTTTAATTTTAAAAATTTGATAGATTATTCCAAAAGCAACAGGATCTCTTATTTCCTTATTTATATCCTGATTACATGTGTTTATGATTTATAAGTGTAATATATGAATAAATATTTATTATAGAAATTTAATTTAGTATGAAATTGACATATAATAATTTAGTATAGTAATTTTAAGTAGTAGTTTAAATAAAAAGTAGTTTTACTTTTATGGCAAACGTGTATAAAAGTTGAAAGGATTGAAACAATACTTTATAAACAAATTTTTTTTACTCATGAATAATGAATATATTGGTCTACAAGGAACTTTCATCGGAATCAAAAAAAAAATTTTCTAAACCCATTTTTGAAATAATTTCAAATATCTAATTAGAGTTTAGCATATGGACTAAATATTAACAAGATCCTTCTGATTAATATAACAAATAATTATGTTTGATTATTAGGTTACGCATGAATAATAAATAAATATATTTTAATTAAAAATATACATAACAAGCAGAATGTATTATGTGCAGTATATCAATATAAATAATTATTTAAACACCAAGAGTGCCATAGAAATGATTACTAGTAGTTTTTTTTAAATTATTTATTACAATAAAAATTGTATATAGTAAATTTATAAAACTCAAAATCTCGTTAAAGCAACTATTTATTTGAAATAAATTATTTAAAGTCTTAGTAATCATTTATATGTAACTCTTAGTGTTTAAATATAAGCAAAATTGTTTGTTGTTTATAAATAAATTTACAAGGAATTTTCATCTGAGATCAAAAAATATTTTTCTAAACTCATTTTTGCCCCGATTTCAAATCTGCAATTATAGTTTTAAATAATGGCTTAAATAATAACAAAGTCCTTCTAATTAACATAACAAATATTTATGTTTGATTATTATGTTACGTATCAATAATCAATAAATATATTTTAATGAAAAATAAGTTGAAAAAGTTTTATTTTCAAAAAAATATTTCATAATAAACGTATTTTTTTATTAACGAAATAAAAATAAATATAAAGAATAAGAAATTAATATAATAGAAATATAAAGTTAAAAATATAATATATAATGTCGAGAATTTTAACACAAAAATAGCATACGGTAGCCATTTTCACCATGAAAACTATGTATAGTTTGATATTTCTTTGTTCATAGTAAATTATATTTTATGAGCTTTAATTTAATATAAATGTGATTTATATATAAATATGTCAGTATTTTCGGTAAATTTAAAAAAAGAAAAATTAAGTTGAAAAAGTACTAGTTTTTATACGTATGTTTAAAGTTTTGACACCCCTTATATAAATAGAAATGGTCCGTTTAAAAAAAAATTGTATTGAACTATACATTTTTCTAAAAGTTATTGCATTATAAAAATAAAAAATTTTAAAAGAATTTTTGAACAGAAATCGTATTTTAGCTTCGATACGAAGCTAAGAAGGTATTAATTTTACCATGATGTGTATTTATTATTATTTTTTTTGTGTGTCTGTAATTTTCAACATTTTTAAAACTTTTTTTTCTTAAAACTGACATAATTTTTACAAAAATGTCTGAATTAAAACAAATTTTTTTTTGATTCTGCCACTTCAATATATATCTTAAATTAAAGCTTATGTAGTATATTTTATTATGGAAAAAAAAAATTTCGAACTTTTTTTGTCTTCCTTATGCTCTTTTTATGTTAAAATTCTCAATTTTACATATAATATAATTAACTTTATATTTGTATAACTTTTTGAAAATTGTATGGATTAATACAATTTTTTTATGATAAATACTTTTTATATACTTCTTTTTTAAATCGGATTAAAACCATATTCCTTTATATGAGTGGGGTTGAAAACATAAAAATCCAAAGAAAATAGAAAGTAGAATATTTTTCAACTTAATTTTTGAAAGTGTTCTGAAAACTCTGTCACTTTTATATATATATATATATATTAAATTAAACCTTATGTAATATATATATTAATATGAAAAAAAAATTTCGAACTTTATTTCGTTTTCATGGTGAAAACGGATATCAAAGTTAATAAAAAGTACGAGTTTTGTAAACAAATTTTTATTTTTTTATTTTTAAATTTATAATGCTATATGTTCGGTAAGAGCTGAGAAAAAATGGTAACAGTCACAATTAAAAATAACACATGTTAGTTAAATATACCTTCTTAACTTCGAATCGAAAAAATATGAGTTACTAAACCTAGTAAACTTTATTCAAATAAGTTAGGATCGTCATACGAATACAAAAATTAACGTCTTTTTTTACCGGCATCGAAAATGACCATTATCAAACCATCAATCCTCCTTTATTAAATTGGTCTCCCTTTTTATAGTGTATGGTTTCCTACTCATTTATCTACATTATTTTCTGATTCTCTTATTCTTTTACAACTTTTTGACATGATCATAATAAAAGTTTAAGGTTTACCACAGTATTAAGTACTATTAACCTAGAAGTTTATAATACGCTTCAAATAAAAACACTAAGTTATTATTAATCTTACCAAAATTTAAATATAAAATATATATATATATATATTATAATATATTAATATAAATAATATTTATTAAATCAATAACATGAATTTTGTTATAAATTTTGATTTAACGCTCTTTGCGACTTAGAGTTCAATTTAATTTCAAGTAACTTACAGCAATGAGTCAAATGACTTATGTATAGAAAGTTTTCTACTATTTTATTATTTTTAACTTGTAAATACATGTCTTCAGCATCTTTGTATTCGCCCAATGCTAGTTTCACCTATTATTATAAAGTCAATTAGATTATTTGTTTACTAATTTTCACTTATATTACAAAACAACAACTTTTTTTTAGCAAAACGTAAATTTTGAAAATTAAAATGTTTGACTTGATACTAATGGATTGTTTATTTTACTGAATTTAATACTTTTTTTGATTATTTGGGATTAATAACTTAAATAAATTTCGATAGGATAAATCACTTTTTATGCTTGTCCTTACTTTAAAGAGGCACATTGATTTTTTTATTATTATTTTTATTTTTCAATCAATTTGGGATTAGACGAATCTTAAATTTAAATGAAAAATAATACTTTTTAGAATAATAATAATTTGCCTTTTTAAAATTAAAAAATTAGTAACCATAGTTTAATGAAATTTGTTTCAATAATGATTTATTAGACTTGTTACTTTATAAATTTGTTTAATTACCTGAGCGAAATTGAAATTAAAGTTGTCGTCATTTGAAAAGTAACTCTTTATGGAATTTAAATATAAATTGACTTCGTCATAACGACCCTCTAAAAAAAAGGCTGACGCCATGCATTGTCTCCCTGGTATTGTGTCGCATTCACTTGAACTGCTACCAACCAAATTAAATAATTGTTGTCCCACTTCAATTTGTTTCCTCTGTAATTGATAGTAATCAAAATTAACAATACATTTTTATCACAATTCAAATTAAATAACATATAAAACACTTTTTAATTCTAATAATTGCAGTGACAATATCACAAAGTGGTATAGGGGTCTAGATAAGTTAATTTTATCAATTTTTTAAGGGTGCAAAAACAAATTAAAAATTAATGATGTTTTATGCAAATCGAAATTATTTAATTGTAAAAAACATACCTTATCAATTAAATATTGCATAATATTTTTGATGGATTTTTTTTCATTTTTGTCACTTATTAGCTTAGGGTTCAAACTACAGATATAATTTTTTAATGTAACATAATGGCTTAATTAAATAATTTCGAATCAGCGGCTATTCATTTTATTTGGTAATATTATCGTTATTAATATTTAGAATAAATATTAATACTTAAATAATATAATATTTAAAAGTCCACAACCAATATTTAACATAAAAAATTTCACATACTTCTATCCTATTCTTCAAAATAGTTCTATCGTTTAATACCGTAAAATATATACGAATTTTACTCAAATTTTCAAACTTAAAAACACTCTAGACTTCTAATTATAAAATATCAGTAAGAAATTTTTAGTGATGAGCAAAACAAGAACAAGATCAAGACTATCAAAGTCTTGGTCTTGGTCTTGTTCTTGAAAGCTGAATCTTGGTCTTGGTCTTGCTTTGCTAACTCAGTCTTGGTCTTGGTCTTGCAAATCTAGTCTTGTTCTTGTTCTTGGTCTTGCTTATTTAGTCTTGTTCTTGTTCATGGTCTTGCCCATAAAATCTTGTTCTTGTTGTGAGTCTTGTCACAATACTCTTGCAAAATCTTGCATTTATTTATATTTATAAAAATTTTCTACTTAAAACGTTTAAATAACGAAGTTACCTACTTCAGTTTGTAAATTCAAATTTAGTTTATATGACCTAAGAATTTTAAGTTAGAACTTAATATTAGCATAAACAATATGAATGATTTTTTTATGAATAGTTTGGGGTATTAAACAAAAATAAACAAATAAATTAAATTAAAAAAAAATAAGACGTTATTTAAATAAAGTATTTTTTCATNTAACTTTATATTTGTATAACTTTTTGAAAATTGTATGGATTAATACAATTTTTTTATGATAAATACTTTTTATATACTTCTTTTTTAAATCGGATTAAAACCATATTCCTTTATATGAGTGGGGTTGAAAACATAAAAATCCAAAGAAAATAGAAAGTAGAATATTTTTCAACTTAATTTTTGAAAGTGTTCTGAAAACTCTGTCACTTTTATATATATATATATATATTAAATTAAACCTTATGTAATATATATATTAATATGAAAAAAAAATTTCGAACTTTATTTCGTTTTCATGGTGAAAACGGATATCAAAGTTAATAAAAAGTACGAGTTTTGTAAACAAATTTTTATTTTTTTATTTTTAAATTTATAATGCTATATGTTCGGTAAGAGCTGAGAAAAAATGGTAACAGTCACAATTAAAAATAACACATGTTAGTTAAATATACCTTCTTAACTTCGAATCGAAAAAATATGAGTTACTAAACCTAGTAAACTTTATTCAAATAAGTTAGGATCGTCATACGAATACAAAAATTAACGTCTTTTTTTACCGGCATCGAAAATGACCATTATCAAACCATCAATCCTCCTTTATTAAATTGGTCTCCCTTTTTATAGTGTATGGTTTCCTACTCATTTATCTACATTATTTTCTGATTCTCTTATTCTTTTACAACTTTTTGACATGATCATAATAAAAGTTTAAGGTTTACCACAGTATTAAGTACTATTAACCTAGAAGTTTATAATACGCTTCAAATAAAAACACTAAGTTATTATTAATCTTACCAAAATTTAAATATAAAATATATATATATATATATTATAATATATTAATATAAATAATATTTATTAAATCAATAACATGAATTTTGTTATAAATTTTGATTTAACGCTCTTTGCGACTTAGAGTTCAATTTAATTTCAAGTAACTTACAGCAATGAGTCAAATGACTTATGTATAGAAAGTTTTCTACTATTTTATTATTTTTAACTTGTAAATACATGTCTTCAGCATCTTTGTATTCGCCCAATGCTAGTTTCACCTATTATTATAAAGTCAATTAGATTATTTGTTTACTAATTTTCACTTATATTACAAAACAACAACTTTTTTTTAGCAAAACGTAAATTTTGAAAATTAAAATGTTTGACTTGATACTAATGGATTGTTTATTTTACTGAATTTAATACTTTTTTTGATTATTTGAGATTAATAACTTAAATAAATTTCGATAGGATAAATCACTTTTTATGCTTGTCCTTACTTTAAAGAGGCACATTGATTTTTTTATTATTATTTTTATTTTTCAATCAATTTGGGATTAGACGAATCTTAAATTTAAATGAAAAATAATACTTTTTAGAATAATAATAATTTGCCTTTTTAAAATTAAAAAATTAGTAACCATAGTTTAATGAAATTTGTTTCAATAATGATTTATTAGACTTGTTACTTTATAAATTTGTTTAATTACCTGAGCGAAATTGAAATTAAAGTTGTCGTCATTTGAAAAGTAACTCTTTATGGAATTTAAATATAAATTGACTTCGTCATAACGACCCTCTAAAAAAAAGGCTGACGCCATGCATTGTCTCCCTGGTATTGTGTCGCATTCACTTGAACTGCTACCAACCAAATTAAATAATTGTTGTCCCACTTCAATTTGTTTCCTCTGTAATTGATAGTAATCAAAATTAACAATACATTTTTATCACAATTCAAATTAAATAACATATAAAACACTTTTTAATTCTAATAATTGCAGTGACAATATCACAAAGTGGTATAGGGGTCTAGATAAGTTAATTTTATCAATTTTTTAAGGGTGCAAAAACAAATTAAAAATTAATGATGTTTTATGCAAATCGAAATTATTTAATTGTAAAAAACATACCTTATCAATTAAATATTGCATAATATTTTTGATGGATTTTTTTGCATTTTTGTCACTTATTAGCTTAAGGTTCAAACTACAGATATAATTTTTTTAATGTAACATAATGTCTGGCTTAATTAAATAATTTCGAATCAGCGGCTATTCATTTTATTTGGTAATATTATCGTTATTAATATTTAGAATAAATATTAATACTTAAATAATATAATATTTAAAAGTCCACAACCAATATTTAACATAAAAAATTTCACATACTTCTATCCTATTCTTCAAAATAGTTCTATCGTTTAATACCGTAAAATATATACGAATTTTACTCAAATTTTCAAACTTAAAAACACTCTAGACTTCTAATTATAAAATATCAGTAAGAAATTTTTAGTGATGAGCAAAACAAGAACAAGATCAAGACTGTCAAAGTCTTGGTCTTGGTCTTGTTCTTGAAAGCTGAATCTTGGTCTTGGTCTTGCTTTGCTAACTCAGTCTTGGTCTTGGTCTTGCAAATCTAGTCTTGTTCTTGTTCTTGGTCTTGCTTATTTAGTCTTGTTCTTGTTCATGGTCTTGCCCATAAAATCTTGTTCTTGTTGTGAGTCTTGTCACAATACTCTTGCAAAATCTTGCATTTATTTATATTTATAAAAATTTTCTACTTAAAACGTTTAAATAACGAAGTTACCTACTTCAGTTTGTAAATTCAAATTTAGTTTATATGACCTAAGAATTTTAAGTTAGAACTTAATATTAGCATAAACAATATGAATGATTTTTTTATGAATAGTTTGGGGTATTAAACAAAAATAAACAAATAAATTAAATTAAAAAAAAATAAGACGTTATTTAAATAAAGTATTTTTTCAATTACACTGATGGCGTGATGTTGTCCGAATGGTAACACAGCAGATGTGCGGTCGGGGGGGACGCGAGTTCGCTTCTCCTAGTCGGATAATTTTTTTTGCATTTTAATTAATTTTTTCATTGAATAATGAACATGGATATATTTATTTTATGAGTTTACCAGTCGCCGGTTTTATGTATCGATTTTTAAAACCGGTTTTAAATAATAATCGCTTTCTGTTCATAGACACAGTTTTTTAAAATTATTGGTTTTGATTAACAAAACCGAAAAAAACTGTTATAACCAGTTTTTATAAAACCAGTTTCAGTCTCCGCTTTAGAAGAACACAAAAATTTTATCTAATTTTATCATAATGTTTGAAGCACGTAATATTTATTTTTAATATTCTTTAACTATTTAAAATTAATTAATTACAATTGAATGACAATAAATTTTGAAACATGATTGTAAAATTTTAAGTTAATCGGTAACATCAGCTCATAGGTAATATTCAATTTGAACAATACGCGTAATCAATAATAAATATAGTTTAAAAAACTAAAAAAACACGCTTTTAAAGCACATCGAACTAAAAAGTTAAAAATAATTTTTAAAATAATTATGAACAAAAAATACTAGTATTATTGTGATAAAAGCGTGGGTGCTTTGTGCCATATTTTTCGTATATTGAGCGCCCGACGCTTTTATCACAATAATACTAGTATTTTTTGTTCATAATTATTTTAAAAATTATTTTTAACTTTTTAGTTCGATGTACTTTAAAAGCGTGTTTTTTTAGTTTTTTAAACTATATTTATTT